GCTGATACACTTGCTAAGAAGGGGACAACGATTTTGCAATGCATGGACCGTCCCATGTCTTTCCACACAATGAAGGGCTTAATCAGAAGAGAATTCCATACCTCAAGGTGCAACGAGCTTAAAGCTCGAACAGAGGAGAAACAGTGGACAGTGGCACTCTCCGACATAGCCGACTGGCCAAGAATCGAAGCCGTTGCTGAGTTTAGACTACGTACCGGACACGATTGCTTGGCAAAACACCTTCACAGATTGGGAGTATACACTCAACCCACATGCCCTCTATGTAACCTACATGAGGAAATGGAGAAGACCCACCTGATTCGGTGTCCAGCTCTAAAGACAAGGACGGAAAGCCAAAGATACTGGGAAGCAAGAAGACTGCTAATGAACTGCTATTAATTAACTGCTATAAATGTACCCACCCCCCTCTTGGGGGAAGCTGAAGTCAAAGATTAAGGGCTAATGATAAATATCATAAAGCCTGCCATTTGAGTTAAATAAATAAATATGGAGCTTGAGACCACATATCTTCTTTAAAATTTGTAATCCAGCAGAGAAAATTGTTGAAATTCGCAGAACGAACCAAATTACAAAAATTAAATGGCTCAGGCCTCTTTAGTCTCAGCGCCTTCTTGAATCCTTCAAATTTTATTATTTATGAAATTTACCTCTTATTGAACCTCTTATTGTTTCTATATAATAAAATATTTTTTGCAGTTATTTAGTATTTTATTTGAAATAATTGCAATAATTGGAAACTTAAATGACAAAGTCATTTTCATTCACTTTTAAATAATTTTTTTCATTATTGATATTCTTAATCCACTAAAGCTTATCATTTCATTAACTAAAATTTATTTTTAAGTCTTTATAGAAAATTATTTTGGCCGATAACTATAGAAGCACTTTACTCACCTCACTTTGAAAAGGTCAAATTTTGTCAGTGAAATACACTCTAGAATTTGTTCAAGTATTAAATAGCAAAACAAAATCGCTATCGATAAAACAATGAGCAAAATGTGCTTCTAAACAGCTAATAAAGAAGATTATTTGTAACGAAAACTATTAAAAATAAACGTGGAACCAGAGAATTTCAGCTAAATCAATTTAACTCCTCCAAAATAGCCATTTTTCAACCATCTAATTGTCGGTTTTTCTAGTTGCGAGTGAAATGAGGATTCGTACGATCTGTTTCACTGATCAGTGATTTTAAGCGCACAATCGCGACAATTAAACTGGATCTAAATTTGTTAGGAGCATTTTACAGCATCCAAATATAGGGAGCCTTTGAGGCGATAAATTTTACCTTCCGGTAGCTGATTCACAAGGAGGTAAAGCATGATGCCAAATTTTTTGACCACAAGTTTATTTATGCAAGCTGTTCAAGGCTCCCTTCTTTAAGATTAAATTTAATTTTGTGGAGATTTCTTTAATGGCACTGAGATATTTAATGTCGTTTAGGTTTTTCATAAGTGAAATATTCAAATGGCTCGCGATCGATTCCCTTGACTATTAGTATAATGTAAAGAATTTCCATCAAACATAACTGCAACTCACTCAAACGATATATTTCTAATTTAAAAATTATTTTTTGGTAAATTAAAATTAAAATTAAAAGTATGCGTTTTTTAAGTATTATATGTTTATTTGAAGAATTATTTTAAACCTCATCAATATATTTAACTTGGGCAACAATATGTCACTTTTAATCTTACGGGATGGTTGAAAACAGGATTTACCCTCTGACCTTATTTTTGCTAAAGCCCTATTAATGTTGAAATATGCATTTTCTATAGACGGCCAATATTTAAAAATTTATTAAATTAAGCTTAATTAAATCAAGTGATTTAATGTTAGCCGTTTACATATGGCAAATAATTTCCCTACTTCCCCTAAGTTAAGCCCTAAGCTAATCTTTTGAAACGCACTTTCTAGTATCTAAGGCCAACTTATTACCACCACGAGCATGTAACCAAAGTGTGACGTTTTTGGCGTTTGGTAAGACGGTTGCAAAATGAAGATTAGTCTTACAAATTAAAGTACAAGGTTCAATGCGCGCACCCTAGGGTTTTATCAACCAAGATGTTAGAAATCAGCTAATCGTCTCGAAAAATAGCCACCACGTCCACCTTAAATCACTAAGGTAATGGTCAATTTCTTAGCAAATATCGCGGTGTGGTATCTAGGCCCTAGAAAACGCTTATCTTCTAACTTTTAAAGACAAAGTGGGTAAGGCACAAATTATGGTGTATATTTAAATGAATAGTGGATAATAATATTATTTTAATCTAATATATTTAATTATTTCAAATGGCAGGCTTTATGGTATTTATCATTAGCACTTAAACTTTGACTTCAGCTTCCCCCATGGGTGGGGGGGGTATATTTATAGCAGTTAATTAATAGCAGTTCATTAGCTGTTTTCTTGCTTCCCAGTATCTTTCTTTAGGGCTGGACATCGAATCAGGTGGGTCTTCTCCATTTCCTCATGTAGGTTACATAGAGGGCATGTGGGTTGAGTGTATACTCCCAATCTGTGAAGGTGTTTTGCCAAGCAATCGTGTCCGGTACGTAGTCTAAACTCAGCAACGGCTTCGATTCTTGGCCAGTCGGCTATGTCGGAGAGTGCCACTGTCCACTGTTTCTCCTCTGTTCGAGCTTTAAGCTCGTTGCACCTTGAGGTATGGAATTCTCTTCTGATTAAGCCCTTCATTGTGTGGAAAGACATGGGACGGTCCATGCATTGCAAAATCGTTGTCCCCTTCTTAGCAAGTGTATCAGCAATCTCATTGCCTTTAATGCCACAGTGACCAGGATTCCATTGTAGGACCACTGTTTTGTTTTTCTCTCTCAGCAGCTCATGGAGTTCTCTACGTTCCTTTATCTCAGCTCTTTTGGGTGGCTCTCTGTTTCCAATAGAGTCTATTGCTGACTGTGAGTCCGAAAGTATCACCGCTTTGGTGAATTTCGTATCCATGCAACATAATTGGCATAGTGCTATCCTAATAGCCTCTATTTCTCCTTCAAAGGCGGATCTATTATGTCCCGCTGCTGCGTAGAAAGAGAAGAGTTCAGAATAGACACCTGCACCAACGTTTGCTTGGTTGTCTATGTATGACCCACCAGTGAAGACTTGGAGCCATTGATCTGCAGGATAGTTGACATCGATTGTCTCAAGGGCTAGTGAGCGCATTTGCTCTGGAAGGGTGTTTGATTTCCTGAAGAAGTCGAGCAGTTGGGTGCAACACACTACATCAGTATCTGCAAATGTGTTCATGGGTAGAGGGAGGCTATTTGGTTTGTCATCGATTTATAATGCTTTCTTCAGTTCTATGGCTTTCTGTATTAGACCAGATTGCGTTTTCAGGTGTCTTGGTCTATTCTCATAGGTGCTGAAGAACTTGTCCATGGGAATGCGCAGTAGCTTCTCATACAAGATCAAGTCCTTTTCTTTGATAAGGGAACCTATTTTGGTGCTTCCTGTAACTAGGAGCATTGCATCAATAGGTGTTGATTTTATCCCTCCAGTAATTAGTGATAATGCTTGGTTGTGTGCCTTCTCGAGGGGTTTGAGAGTCACCTCTGTGGCTGTAATGAGTGGCTCACAGCAATACAACATTATTGGCTGAATAAACATCTTGTAAGTGGTGTTTAGAGTTGAGCGCGCACAGCCCCATACGCTACCAGCAAGACGCTTCAGGACATTCAGTCTATTGGAGACGCGTTCTGCTATTTTAGCAATGTGACTTTTCCACATTAGCTTTGTGTCAAACGTCATTCCGAGATAAGTGAACTCATTGGTTCTTTCTAGGGCAGTATCCTTGTACCTTAGAAGCGGGTTTATGCTGTGATGGGCCAAAGAAAAAGTTTTGAATGCAGTTTTTGCGGTGTTAATTACCATTCCATTGTTGTCACACCAGTTTGCTAGTAGTTTAAGTGCATAAGTTAGGGCACTTTCTGTCCTCTCCTGAGCGTTTTTCTTTGGAACGGAAGACCATAGAACAAGATCATCTGCATAAGGTAAGCACTTGATGCCCGTGACTGTACTAATTCGGCCATGTCATTAATGAAGACATTGAAAAGAGTCCAGCTTGTGACAGCTCCCTGTGGAAGGCCTGTTTGCAAAAGATTGGATTTTGATAGAGCATTTCCGTATCTGACTTTACATGATCTTTGTCCAATGAATGCTTTTTTCCAGTTAAGCATGTTATGCTTAATACCAATCTTTGCCAANTAGAAGGTACAGAGTGTAACCTGGGAATTGTTAGTGCTTCAGTTTGTCATCCGAAAATAGCTTCCATAATTGTGAAAATGTCTACATCATAGATTTGAGCTGGGAATTGGTAGTACTTCAGTTTGTCATCCTAAATGTTTGCTTCCATAATTACTGTATTTTAGAAAATTTCAAAATCCATAAGGTTTGTAGGATTTTCTGTATTTGGATCTTTTTGTCCGTTACATTCCTCCAGCATTCCACTGGAGGATCTGAAGACATTGGTGTAGGATTTTCTTGACTTGGATCTTTTTGTCCTGTGACATCCCTCCAGCATTCCACTGGAGGATCTGAAGACGATGTTATTGGCAGCATTCCACTGGAGGATCTGAAGACATTGTGATTCGCCCCTTCCACTGGAGGATCTGAAGACGTTGTGATTCACCCTGACAAGGATCTGAAGACGTTGTGATTCGCCCTGACGAGGGCGATTTCTCTTATAGCATCGTTTCAAGCTAGTCATCATAAATTTATGTTAAATCAAATGCCGAGTGATAGGCTTTTTTGCCGCACGAAGATACGTTGTCAAGGGTGCACCACGTGGAGGTAAGTCTATCGCGCACCCCATTTTAATCCATTATAGAATAGGTTATTGATTTCTTCTTTTAAACGGCCGCTCAGTTGTTTAGCCAACTCATATTTGCACAGGAGTTGGCAATAGACTTGCATCTACGTGATGAGCAAAAAAGCCTAAAAACAAACAGTTGGTTTCAAGCTTCCATGACCCGGTTATATACCATTTTCCATCACTTTCACAGTACTCATCTTACTTTTCTCTTTACCTTTACGCCTGCACCTTTTACATCTGTGAATCACTTATCTGTTACTTCTCTCCATTTTTTGTGACGCTGATGCTCCTCCAGACTGTGAAGCCTGAAGTCAACAAAGGGGCTACTGATGACTAATTTTTATGCCTGCCATTTGATATGAATAATTATTTTGCAAGCGAATCCATTACGTCTCAATTTTTTAGACTGCTGATAAAGTTCTTTCTCTAAGGTGTCGTGTAATTGTTTAAATAATTTAATATTTAAATTCGCAAGAATTTGATAGAACGTAACTTAGCACTTTCTGATAAATCCTAAAATTTAGTTCGAATTCAATCGAAAAGCAAGCACAAACCCCCTAAAAACGTTTATTCACTAAATGCAAAATTCTCACTGTCTACGTAGGAGAATGCGAAGCTACACAGAAAATATCCAGCATTAAGTAAAAACTCAGATTCTGGTATTTTCCTGTCCATATAGTTCGATATCTCCGCATTTTGATAGTTATCATTAGCTCTTTAGCCGACCGCGGGCCTCACAGAGGGAGAAACATTTGGTAAAACATAAGATAATGCTAATGAGTGGTACAACTTACTGACAATAACTTTGTCATTTAAAACAGAATTCGATTCAATTCCCTAAGTCTAAACATTTATTAGTTAATTTATTTATTTCAATTGGCGGGTTTCATGACACTTATCATTAGCATTTTAGCTTACTGAGGGGAGGACCATTAAAGTGAAAAAAAGTGGAGAGGGGGACAGTAGAGAGATTCACAGATGTAAAAGCGACAGACAAATACAAAGGCAAGGAAAAGGTAGGATCAGTAATGTGAAAGGGGTCGAATATGATATACAATGGGGTCATGGTAGTTTGAAGGCAACTCCTACAATGGGGTCATGGTAGTTTGAAGGCAGAAGTCAACTGCCGGTTTATAGAATTTTTTGCCGTATGAGTATACGTTGCCCAGGATGCACCAAGTGGAGGTAAGTCTATCCTACACTCCATACCTTTATTGTGAATATTTAAAAATGTTTACTTTTAATTAATATGATCTGCATGATTAAACTGCTCAAAGTCCAAACATATTTAGTCAGCAAAAAATATTTCCTTTGATTGATTACTTTTTTATTTGATTGCATATATTTTTTGTCAAAAAGGATGCCTTAAATACGAATTTCCTGCAATACTAACAGCTTTGCTGTTACCTATACCAAATATAAGTATGAAATTCAAACTATTCTATAGCGTTCAAGAAGGTTCCATTAATGTGTTTTTGCTTTGGCCGAATTTCATAAAGTTACTGCGTACTATTTTTTTCTATTTTAGAGATATTCCATTACTAATACTTTTGTAAATTATTTAATGTTTAAATATTTGGTTATTTACAAATAAATTAGCAAGATCTTTTAAGGTTTTGATATTCTCCTTTTTCCAAACATATGTATCTTCCTATTCGCTTATTTTCCGTACATATTCTAAGATGAGATATCGATTGATATTTAATAATAGTAAAGGTGATTAGATGCTTAATATTTGTTAAAGATAATACTCCTTTTATAAGGTAAAGAGCAAATTTCAAGGCAAACATTTAGCGTAAAATATGTGTAAAGCACAGCCACATAAAGGCTGAACAAAAGAAACACAACAGAGCTAGAATATTTTGGAAAGCGCTGTTCCCGACAGATTTTGATTAATGTTAATTCAGGAAGTGGTAAATGCATTACTTTAAAGTGCACCTAATTTTGTAGTTTGTCATATGCAAAAAATATAGCGTTCTTTGCTTTATACGTGTCCTGTCTCTCTACTGTGAGCATAGTCAAAAGATATATTTATTTATTTCAAATAGCAGGCGTTTTGATAGTTATCATTAGCCATTTAGCTGACTTAAGGCTTCATAGAGAGGAGGAGGAACATTAAAGCAAAAAAAGTCGAGAGGGGGGACAGAAGAGTAATTCACAGGTGTAAAGAGACAGATGAACATAAATGCAGAGAAAAGGTAAGATGAATATTGGGGAAGTCGTCGAATATGAGACAGTGGGGTGATGGTAGTTTGGAGTCAGAAGTCAACTGCCGGTTAATAGCCTTTTTTGCCGTATGAGTATACGTTACCCAGGGTGCACCACGTGGAGGTAAGTCTACCGCGCACCCCATAGTCAAAAGATAGCTTTGAAGAGAAGTGTTCACATTAGGTGCCCCGTCAGAAGCTTGTTGAACTTCCATACAGTTAGTTAGACTTCTTTAGGGATTGCTTAAGCTAACCTGAATGCTTATTTATGCAGTATTTATTCAATTCCGAGATAATTAAGAGATCTTGGCTTTGGCTTATCGCAAATTAGGTGACTACTTTTCACGAGATAAGTAATATTTGATAATAGTCTTAGGTCTCATATTTATTTATTTTAAATGGCAGGCATTTTGATAGCCATCATTAGCCCTTTAGTTGACTTCGGGCTTCAGAGAAGGGAGGAAAATTAAAGTAAGAAAAATTCGACAGGGAAAAAGAAGAGCGATTCACAGATGTAAAAGAGACAGACAGACACAAAGGCAGATAAAAGGTGGGATGAGTACTGTGGAAGTGGTAGAATATGGCATACAGTGGGTAATTATTCAAATTTATCCTATGATGAGCAAATTTGATTTTTTATAATTATTTCGCCTTTGTTTCTTCTGCTATTACGATCAATAACCTGAATTTAGAATATTTATTTACAATCAGGAAAAATGAACTTTGCATGACCATCTAGTGATAAGTCATTATTTTAGTGATAATATGCTCTGTTATTAACTTATTACACCTTTCACACTTAAGCCAACCTTATGCTATTTCGATTTCGAATGCTACGTTAGTGTTTGGTATGGCCTTGGTATTTGAGTATATTACAAATTTAGACCTACTTAGTTGTTAGAGTATGATAGAATTGGATAGCGGTAGGGAGTATATTATCCTTTATTAGTACCTGAGTGTGTTCACTCGTTTCTAATTGATTTTGATCACGTGATTTGTATTTTCCATTGACAGCTAACAGTGTTAAATAAATTTTAATTCTTTAAATCAAAATATACGCGTTTGTTCTAGTTGGCTTATCTTCTAATAATATCACGTTAGTGCTTTACCTTTCTTGTAAATTCACTTTACACAAATACTGTTTATGCGAAATACCTTTGACAGATGACTATTTTGTGGCTCTTTCCAGGTGTGTTTAATGCTTTCACACAAACATTAGGTTGCATAAAAAGCTCTAAATACTCCTTCGTGCATATATTTGACACCGGCAATACTGAATTTGTGGAACCCTCCTGATTCATGGAAGGGAATAACTCATAGTATGATGAATTATGTTGGACATCAAAATACGGATATTCAGATCGCCGGTCAATTCTCCCTGAATATTTGGTAAATATTTAGGCAATAGAAACTGAGAGGTTGTTCTAACTGGAAAAAGGCTCTGAAAATTTGCTTTAGAATTTGGCCATTGTCGCTGCAGTCTCTTAAAGGCTTCAGCCCCTATCATGAAGCCTGACATCAATGAGGAACTCAGCTGCTTCCATTCATACCAGCGGAGAAGAATACATCTTGTAGAAGTGGACACTTCTGAACAAATCGAAGCATCATTTATGAGGACGTCGCTTTCTCTCCATTAAAGAAACCTTCTGCCAAGATAGAATTTTGCATTATGGGGTATGTTTCTTGCCTTGTCACAGAGCAGTCTTCCGGTCTCGCAGTCTAAATTTTTCATAACTATCATGGTTTTCGGCTGCGTCCCCTTCCTACGTTGATGTGATGATTTCAACTTCATGTTTTCAAAGAAGGCCTTTGGAGGTGTGCAGATCCTTACGTGAAATTTCTGACAACTTTAACAGTAACTTTTGTTCGTGAATAAGGGTATCTACACCTCATAGAAAAGTTAAAAATGTTTGTCACCGCACTTTTACGACTTTCCCATTTCCACTTTTGGCCTCCGAGCTCCTCAAATCTTAGTTGAATGGCCAAATGGATGCTAATAAGTCCCCAAGGTGCCAAACGCAACAAAATCCCAGTTAATTGACAGATTTTAATCGGTTTTGGGACAATAAATAGATGATTAAAATTTTAGCCAGTCCACTATTTACATCTGATATAATTTTGATCTTCGCTGTTTCATCATTCTATGTCTAAATAAACAAATATAAATCAAGATGTCCCATTCAGTTTAAAGAAGAGGTTATTTAAGGTTAATATTTACTAATCAATTTTGATGCATATGACTTTAAATTTGAATCAAAGATGAGGCAAAATAGGGAAAACATTTACAAGAAGATAAATTTGTTTTACCTGGTCGCTTTAGCGGCCTATTTGAAATACTATAGGACCTGTGGCTAATCCCAAATAGACAAGCCTCGGCCTTTCCCCAGTAATGCCCATAGCCAAATACCTTAACCACAATATAGTAGAGACAGAAATATGGCATGAAATATATATATATATATATTTGGGTTGTGGGTATTGTGTAATACTGCTATAGAACTTAATCATTACGCAGTGTTTGCATTCAAGGCATCACTTGCTTCTTGACATCGGTATCTTGACCACACCTTCCAAAATGTACGAAAACTCATTACGTTTTGTACTCTGCAGAACTTTCTGTCAATTTGGAGATAAAAATGGATTCAATCGGCTAAATTTTGTAAATGATATCATTTTGCTTTCGCTGTTCTTATGTCTTTGTAAGAACATCTCTTTTAGTTTCCTCCTGTGGAGTGTTTAACGATGTGAACGTCTTTCACACTCTCATAGGCAATTGTAGCAAAATTTACAAAAATGAAGGATTTATGCCTCTCTCTTTCATAAAGACCCGTTGTTTAATGTCTAATCGACTGATTGAAAATATGCAATAGCTAATAATAGAATGCTTTGAACAGCTAAGTTGACAAAAATTGACAACAATCAGATATTATTATGGTTTGTTCTTTTCGTAACTTTTGACTGAAGACTACTAACTATTGGATTGGCAACTAAGTCATTGCCGTTTTTGTTGACGGATTCACTTTATACTTTCTTTTGTTTTGTTAAGGTGGCCAGAGCATCTAACCTATATTTTTTTCTTACTGTATGGGCTTCTAGGTTAATTAGTAAAGATTTTTTTGTTTAGTTCTTTAGTTTTGTTTTTATCCCAATTTAAAAATGAAAGAACAGGACGTGCACTTCCGACACATTTTTTGTATTACTTCCGAAAAGGCAAGAACGCATCGCAAGCACAAAAGAAGTTATGTGCCGTATATGGAGATGAAGCCGTGGGGAAGAAAGGCAGTGTCGAAATTGGTTTGAAAGATTTCGTTCCGGTGATTTTTCACTGAAAAATTCATAACGATCTGGCCGCCCAGTCGAAGTGGATGAAACCCATATCAAGGCCATTATCGATTCAAATCGTCACAGCACAACACGAGATACTGCAGAGAAGCTCAATGTGTCGCATACATGCATTGAAAAAAAATGAAAAACCCTTGGTTATGTCAAGAAACTTGATTTATGGATCCCTCACCAGTTAAAGGAAATTCATTTGACGCAACGGATTAGCATCTGTGATTCGCCGCTACTGAAACGCAATGAGAATGATCCATTTCCGAGGAAGAACCTAGTTACTGGCGACGAAAAGTGGATAGTTTATAACAATGTTACTCGCAAGAGATCATGGGTGAAGCAAGATCAACCAGCCCAAACAGTATCAAAANTCGTCACAGCACAACACGAGATATTGCAGAGAAGCTCAATGTGTCGCATACATGCATTGAAAAAAAATTAAAAACCCTTGGTTATGTCAAGAAACTTGATTTATGGATCCCTCACCAGTTAAAGGAAATTCATTTGACGCAACGGATTAGCATCTGTGATTCGCCGCTACTGAAACGCAATGAGAATGATCCATTTCCGAGGAAGAACCTAGTTACTGGCGACGAAAAGTGGATAGTTTATAACAATGTTACTCGCAAGAGATCAT